AAGAGTTGTGGGATGACACCAAGCACATCATACATGAAGAAAACAAAATAAAACAAAAGGTCATTAAAAAGACAGAAAAGAAAAGAAGAGACCAAAATGGATGTCACAAGTGACTCTGAAACTTGTTCTTGAGCATAGAGACACTAAGCAACTAGAAGAAATGATGAAGTAAAAGAGCTAAACAGAAAATGTCACATCCACCATCCACTCCTTGGAAACCCTATACAGGGTCACTATGAATCAGAACTGGCTCAGTGGTACATAATAACAACGATGGCGACGACTGTAGGAAGCAGCTACTTACTACTTCTCGTACTTGAAGAATACTGGAAAGAGATTGGGAGAGTTTGGGGTCAACAGAGCTTTGAAGCTCAGAGAAAAGACCCAACAAGTGTGAGAAAGGATTTTTGCTCAATTGATGCTGGTGCCTCTGAAAGTGCTTAGCTTGTTTTGGAGTGCTTAAAGAAATGGAAAGTGATATTAATGGCTGATTCTGGAATGAAATACAACTGCTGGGTCGTAAGCCACTGCTCTTTTCAGTGCTGATGAAATGAATGTGCAGATGGTAAGAAGAGGTGTGTGTGCATGCACAAGTGTCTATGTATGTGCTACCTTAGTGCTTATTTCTGTTTCTGGTCATAAGGATGAATAAGTTGGTATTTATAGAGTTTTTTCTTACACTATTTATTTTATTCCCTCTGTTCACACCCAGCTCCTCAGTCAGGATTTCCTTTGTTTGATGGGACATCTCAAGGGTTCATTCTTGAAGAATCAAAATTCTCACTAGAGCTGCTTTTTCTTTCTTTTTTTTTTTTTTAAATTGTAGTTGTTGGTTATAGTTTTCCATTAGCCTTTGTTATTGAATATGCCCCAGAAAATTTCCATTGCTCCAGACATAGTACATTATGTAGCAGCAACTCAATTTTTTTCTTGGTAATCAAAACCAGCCATCCCAGCCAGAGTCCTGTCCTTTTTTAGTTGATTTAGTTTCATGAGGAGTCCAAAATGGCAAATCTCTAATTCAGTGGGAGTACTACGGAAATATTGTATTCATGGGAACTGTGGTCTCTGAACTCTCAGAGCCCAGAGTTGAAGGCAGGAGAATTTTGGTAAATTACTACATAAGAGCTACTGTTGTTATTGGAGTCCTGATGCGGCACTGTGGGTTAATGCGCCAGACTGCAAAGCCATTTACACTGAAAGGTCGGAAGTTTAGGCTTACCAGCCGCTCCTCGGAAACCCTATACAGGGTTTTTGTGGGTTAGAACTGACTCAATGGTACTTAACAACAACAACAACTGTTGTTACTGTTTTTGGGTTGGGACTGACTCATAGCATCCCGTTAAAGCATTTCCAAGGAGCAGCTGGTGGGTTTGAACTGCTGACTAGTAATTACCCTACAGCACCACACAATGTTCTATCAAGAGCCCCATGTTATTCTTGTTAAGTGCCATTGAGTCAGTTCTGGCCCTGTATAGGGTTTCCAAGAATAGCTGGTGAGTTTGAACCACCAACCTTGTAGATCAAACCAACCTTACAGTTGAGTGCTTTACCTATAGTGCCATGCCACTAATGCCACCTAATTCCCAGACCTATGTTAATGTAGCTTTGCACCTCAGACTACTACTGCTTCCACATGAAGGGTCAACTGTGGTACAAACCACCTTAAGTTCTCCTACTAGAAGGATTTTCATTCAGTGCTTGCTGTCTTTCAGGGGTGTCTTTTATTGTGCCATAATACTGCAGTGGTCTATTTTTGTTTGGTATCAGCCTACTATCCTGAACCATTTTTTCCCCTTCCCCATCTAAATTTTTTCTTCCTCAGTTACCTTAGTTACTGTTACTCATTGATGGTGAAGTGCAAGGTGTAGCAATAGGTCTTTAACCTTGGCATGCCCTGACTACTAGCCCCCCACAAACTTTATTAAGATAGTTGTTGTTGTTGTTGTTGTTAAGTGCCGTCGAGTCGGGTCCGACCCATAGCGACCCTGTACAGGGTTTCCGAGGGTGTAAATCTTTACGGGAGTAGAAAGCCTCATCTTTCTCCCGCGGAGCAGCTGGTAGTTTCGAACCGCTGACCTTAAGGTTCGCAGCCCGATTCGTAACCACTACGCTACCAGAGCTCCTTTATTAAGATAGTAGGTCCCTACATTTTTATGGATTTTCTCCTGATCTCTAGCATGCGTATGTCTTTTTCACCAAAGTATCAAAGAACTTGTCTCCTGCTCCCCAGGACCAATCCATATTGTCATTAATGCAATGTTGGTCTGTGGAATGTCTAACTGATCAAGATTTCTCAAGATTATGAGAAAGAGCAGGCAAATTTGCATAATCTTCAGGAAAAGACAATGGATGTATATTGTTTACTCTGGTGGGTAAAAGCAAAATCTTTGTCCTGATGTTTATAAATGAGAATAAAGGGAGAAAATTACACAGAAGATCATTTGCTTCCTGTTGTCCATTTCTACATAATGGCCCAGTACAGTAATGAGAAGTCTATATGAGAGGTCTACCTTTTACTGTGTCTCTCTTTTTTTTTAAACTTTAACAAACAGAAGTTTATTCTCTTATAGTTAAGTAGGCTAGAAGACTGAATTTAGATCCTTTCAGAATCTGTAGGCCCAGCATTCCTTGGAGATCTCTTTGTGTCTTGACCTCAGTTGTTCCCTGAATCTTGGAGTTTCACAATGCAGGGACCCCAAGCCCAAAGGACGCACTCCTCTCCTTGTTGTTAAGTGCCATCCAATCAGTTCCGATTCATGGCGACCCGTATAGGGTTTTTGAGGCATGCCTAGTGAATTTTTAATACCGAACTTTTAGTTCAAACAGATCTTATGGTTCAGTGCTTACCCTACAGTGGCCACAACAGGACTCTAGTCCTGGCTTTTCTTAACTGGTAGTAGTGGCTCCCTCTTGTTTCTCTTTTAATGATACATTCAGGACGTAGGGAAATAACCGCATGGTGGTTGATGGACTGATTGACTGTGAAATGGACTTGGCCCCAGACTTTATTTACTGTCCTAATCTCTCACTTTTGCATCAGTTCAAAAGTTCTATCACTTAGCTAATGTGCTAAGTTTGATTTTACATTCTTACAAGTTACCAGACATTGTGCTAAGCCCTTCATATACACTGATTCAATCTTTGTAAATATAATTACTTTCACATTTTACAAGTGATAGAACTTTTAGACAGAACCAGCATCTAGTAATTCCCTAAAGGTCTGGGTACATTCCTTGTAATGGTACACAGAGTCCCTAGTAAATGGCTGCCTATCTTATGTCTTAAGGGAAATTTTATATTACATACTTGTGACTTGGTTGCATGATCTTTGGGAAGACATGGCCTCCCTTTTAATTCAGGGCTTTGTTACCTTGAGTTTAATCGACACTCTCTGTCTTATGACTTGAACTGAGAGTTTAAGACCTTGAACTTGTCATTTTCTTTTGTAATCTTTCTAGTTTAGCCAGAAGCATTCGTTGTGATGATTGCTACCTTAATGGTCACATGAAACAGTAATTTTATCTTCTTAGGTACTTGCTTCTATAGACATGTCGTCATAATTTACTACAAGTGGTCATTTAATTAATTCTTATGTCAGTGCATGGTAGGGATCACTAGTATCCCAGTTTTCATTGGCAAGGAGTTCAGAACTGCATTGAGCATCAAGGATATAATCAAGCCAATTCCTGGATCCCATCTTTGAGGGTATGTTTCCTGGGTGTTTTGACAGGAAATTTAATGTAGGACTGGTTACAACTGTGGAGAATTAAAAGAACTTAAAAGGGAAAACCAAAATGACCTAAATATAGCAACTACTGGGAAAAGTCACCGTTTTTAGGTCTAGTGAACAGTGACTAGCAAAACTTTGAGATGTCGTGTACACTTTGCTTTTATTGATATTTTAACAAGTTGGTTTTAAGAAAGTGGAATAAAGCAGGAGGCTTGAACCTGTCAGGTGATACTGTTAAATATGTATGCAAATAGAAGAAAAAGTTTCTCCTTCTGCTCCAACTGCTTATCTTAGCTAATGTGCTAAGTTTGATTTTAAATTCTTACAAGTTACCAGACATTGTGCTAAGCCCTTCATATACACTATCTGATTTAATCTTTGAAAATATAATTATTTTCACATTTTACAAGTGATAAAACTTTTAGATAGGTAAAGCCAAGATTTCATTCTTATTTTTCTTAATAATGGAGAGATTCTCATGTTTGTTATTGAGAAGAATCAAGAAGAAAGGGAGAAGTTGCAGATACTGGAAAGGAAAAGAATAATACACAGTGGAAAGCTCATGAGAAGATAGGTTAGATTTGAATAGATAGAAGGAATGATGTCTCCTCTATTTTACAGAAAGGGAAAAAGAGTACATATGCAGGTTAGTTTGTGCATTTGATGCCAAGAAGATAAGGAAATTCCTTTTGAATAGCTTCTGTCTTCTCTGTAAAGTAGGAAACATTATCATCTTTTGACAAATGGAAGTGAGATTGTTGTTGTTAGGTGCCATCGAGTTGGTACTGACTCATAGCGACCCTTTGCACAACAGAATGAAACACTGTCTGATTCTGGGAGTAAGGTAGGGAGAATGAAAGTTTGAAGATGTTGGAAATTTTTTGAAATAGTCTTTGTGGAAGGTAGAGTAAATAAATCAAGTAATGAATCAGTGAGTAAGAGTGAGTGAAAGAGAAACTAATGTTCTTAATTCAGTGAGTTGAAAATTATATTTTACCAATATTATTAATGACACAAGGCAAAATTAAATTAAATACTAAATGATAGAATATTGCTAATCAGGATAAAAAGTAAGGATTAGGGATGAAAGTAGTATAACTTCTGTCATTGGTGTAGATTTTGTAGAGGAAATAGAACATAAGTGAGGTCTTATTTCATAGGTAGGTAAACTTAAGAAAAACATCATAAGCAATGATTGGATAGGGGTATTTTGTATTGATTTGGTTGACGGTAATCGTTTTTGTTGTTGTTCTGCCAACATTTTCAGTGAATATGGAGGTGAGACCATGCAAGGACCTGCATTTGATCCAGTAAGTCATTCATCTTCAGCATCAGCTCCGTCTTCCTCCTCAGCATTTCGACCTGTAATGCCATCTAGGCAAATCGTAGAACGGCAGCCTCGGATGCTGGACTTCAGAGTTGAATACAGAGACAAAAATGTTGATGTGGTACTTGAAGACAGCTGTACTGTTGGTAAGGTTTTGCTACCATAAAGTCTTTACAACTAAATTAGGTAAACATTTGTTAAATATTTAGCTTATATCCTTTGAAGTTGGGTGCCAAAAAGAAGGGTGGGGGGAGAGAAGCACCAAATTGAAACTGGTATTTTCCCATACAGCTCATTGTGCTTTATTTTTAAATACTGTGTTGAGAGTGAGGTAATAATTTTTTTGTTTTGTTTTGTTTTGTCCAGTGTCTATGGAGTGGTATGTAGGGTTGATAAGATTTTTAAATGACCTTAATTGTTAAGTACATTGCAAATATAGTTAATAAAAGATCAGCTACAAAATATGTTTTGGTCACTCATTCTCCCATTGGCTAGATTAATGGTACAGTAGTAGTCTATCATACAGAGCGCAATGTAAATGCCTGCCTGGAAGACTTTATCAGGTTACAATAAAATTAGAAAAGAAACTGTATTGAACTCATTTATGATTCAGATTATTTGTTTCACTGTATCATGGAACCAGATATTGTATTAATTTCTGTAGTTTTGCCTTAAATCCACTATTCTGATATATCTAACATGTTGAATTTGTTTCTTAATGGTATTGTTGTTGTTAAGTACTGTCAAGTTGGTTCTAACCCATGGCCACCCTAAATAGAGTTTCTGAGGAGCAGCTGGTGAGCTTGAACTGCTGACCTTGCCATTTAAATCAACTTTTCAGTCCAATGCATTAACCCACATTGCCACACTTAAAATTTTTATTTATTTTTTTATTTTGAGAAACATTACCGGAAACACCAAGGTTAAAATGGTCTGTAAATCCTTGCTTGATCAGGCCCTTCCATAATCTAGTTTCATTTCATACTACTTTTCTCCTTGCCCACTGTAAGAAACCATGAAGAACTTCTTTTAACAGGCAAAGTTATTAACCCATTCATGGCCTTACTTAGCACTTGTCCTTCTTCCTGGATTTCTGTCTGTGTCCAGCCGTTTTTCTGGTGCTCATTCTTATGCCTCAAAATGCCCTGCTACATATTCCATAGCATCATGTTTCTTGTTTCTAGTGTGCGATGCAAGTCAAATCTACTTCATTATCTTTCTTCCCCACTCTATACTCTTTGGGAATTAAGACGGTTACATTTTTATTATCTAGGACATGTTGTTATTTAGTTGATAAGTGCCTTTGAGTCAGTTCCAACTCATTATGACCTGGTATAGGGTTTTCAAAGAGTGGCTTGTGGGTGTGAACTGCTGACTTTGTGGTTAGTAGTCCAGTGTTTAGCCTACAGTGCTACACCAGGAGTCCATCTCTTGAATACCTATTGGCTAAATATAGTTAGCCCATCTCTAGAGTTTACTGTATATGTGAAATTGCTTTATTAATAATGTCTTTGTGCTATTCAAATCTAGAGTGTACTGTTTCAACTTCTTTTCATATTTCATACTTGTGTTGTTGTTGTTAAGTGCTTTCAAGTTGGTTCCAACTCATAGTATATAGGGTTTCTGAGGAGCAACTGGTGGGTTTGAATTGCTAACCTTGTCTAATACTTAGCCTACAACACCGTGTGATTGTTGTTATTATTAAGTGCTGTCAATCAATTCCGATCCATAGCGACCCTATATATGGTTTGCGAGGAGCAGCTGGTTAGACCCCTGCAAAGGAATAAAACATAAAACCCTACCAGCTAGATACCAAATATTGTTGTCATATAGGGTTTCCAAGGAGTGGCTGGTGAATTTGAACCACCAACCATGCATTTAACAATCCAGTACTTATACTGTAGCACCATACTGAGACTCCTTGTTTTTCATGTACATGTCACTAACACAGCTAAGGCATCTTTGTTCCATTATTTGATAGCCATTTAAAATAGGGGTAACCAATTAGACATTTAGTTTCTTAGTTTAATAATGAATATTTTTAGTATCACAGGGCTCAGAATTCCGTACCATATCAAACCCTTCCTTTTAAATCTTAAAATTAGCTCAGATTTTATTGGTTTAAAGAAAACTAGAACTCCTATACTAAATAAATATTAGCTGTTGTTTTGTAGCATGTGTCTGAGTAGTTTCGTGTCTCATTTCAAACTTCTTAACAGTCTTGAACATTTGATGTATGGTGGAAATGCATGGATGTTTGATCACTTAAATCACTTTTGTAAGTGAGTGATCCAAAACATTGATTTGTCTGGATTATATATGTTTATGCTACTCTTTAAAGCTATCTTAATTTGGAGAATATGACTATAAATATTTAAAACTTGACCGTAGAACATGAAAACATTTCCATGTTATCTTTATGATCTACTGTAAAATCAGACTTGTGCACATGGGTGTTATATTAAGAGAAGTTATCATTATATTTGATAAAAGATACAATGAAAGCAACTGCAAACATAATTGAAAATAAAGTGTTTCAAAATGATTTGCAAGCCAAATACTATTATTATAGGATACATACTTTTTCCTGCTTCTCTTAACTATTCCAGTTGCATTGTTTCCCTTATTGTGAGTCATATGACAGTCAGAGAATCATGTTATACACTTCTGAAAATCAGCCAGTGAAAATGAAAACTTTATGGGTCACAATTGTCTGATCTACAGCTGATCATATGAATGGCATTGACCCAGGCAGTGCTTTGTTCCATTGTGCATGGAGTCACATGAGTCAAGGGTCAAGCTGACAACAGCCAACAATACCACCTCCTGGTGTGGCACTATAGGGTAAGCACTGGACTGTTAACACAGGTTCAGCTGTTCAAACTCACCAGCTGCTCCTTGGAAATCCTATACAGGGTTGTTATGAGTTGGGACCGACTCAGTAGCACTTAATAACAGCAGCAAATGTGTGTATATTAATTTATCTAACATAGGAAATTTTAATACCCCATTAAATTGTGTTTGTGTGTGTGTGTATATATATATATATGTATATATACATATTTATGTATACAGTTTAATATACATATTTAATATATATTTGTGTCCATTCCAAAGAGAGGTAATCCAACAGAATGCAGAAATCATCGGACAATCTCTTTGATACCTCAAGCGAGTAAAGTTTTGCTAAAGGTAATATAGAAACAGCTACAATCATACATTGACAGAGAACTTTCAGAGGTTCAAGTAGGACTCAGAAGAGGCTGTGGAATGAGAGATATCATTGCTGATGTCCGATGGATCTTGGCTGAAAGCAGAGAATATCAGAAGGATGTTTACCTATGCTTTATTGACTACGCAAAGGCTTTTGATTGTGTGGATCATGACAAGCTATGGACAATATTGCAAAGTATGAATATTCCAGAACACTTAATTCTACTTCTGAGGAATCTGTACCTGGACCAAGATGCAGTTGTTCAAACAGAGCATGGGAACACTGAATGTTTTAAAATTGGGAAAGGTGTGCAACAAGGTTGTGTTCTTTCACCATACTTATTCAACCTGTATGCTGAGCAAATAATACGACAAGCTGGATTCTATGAAGAAAAACGTGGCATCAGGATTGGAGGAAGACTCATTAACAACCTGCGATATGCAGATGATACAACCTTGCTTGCTGAAAGTGAAGAGGACTTGAAACATATACTGATGAAGATCAAAGAGCACAGCCTTCAGTATGGATTGCATCTCAATGTCAAGAAAACAAAAATCCTCACCACTGACCAATGAACAACATTCTTATCAATGGAGAAAAGATTGAAGTTGTCAAGGACTTCATTCTTCTTGGATCAACTATCAACATTTGCGGAAGCAGCAGTCAAGAGATCAGACGACATATTGCATTAGGCAAATCTGCTGCACGGGAACTTTTAAAAGTGTTGAAGAGCAAAGATGTCAGCTTGAGGACTAAGGTGCGCCTGACCCAAGTCATGATGTTTTCAATAACATCATATGGATGCGAAAGCTGGACAGTGAATAAGGAAGATCGTAGAAGAATTGATGCCTTTGAATTGTGGTGTTGGAGGAGTATACTAAAAGTGCCATGGACTGCCAAAAGAACCAATAGATCTGTTTTTGGAGGAGGTGTAGCCAGAGTGCTTCTTGGAGGCCAAGATGGCTGAACTTCGTCTCTCATACTTTGGACATATTGTCAGGAGGGAACAGTCACTGGAGAAGGATGTCATGCTGGGTAAGATGGAGGGTCAGAGAAAAAAAGGAAGACCCCCAATGAGATGGATTGGCCAGGTAGCATCATTGATGGCGTCAAGTGTGGCAGTGGTAGTGAGGTTTGCCCAGGATCGGACATTATTTCGTTCTGCTGTGCATGGGGTCGCTGTGAGTTGGTTCCTACTTGATGGCACCTGACAACAAAAACAATATATATTCATCTTATTGAATTTAATAAATGCTGATTTTTTTTCCTTGGCAGTATACATATAAAGAGTTGTAGTGTGACATTGTAGGATAACCATTGGATTGCACACTACAAGGTTGGCAGTGTAAACCCACCAGTTGCTACTTGGAAACCCTGTTCTATGAGATAGCACCAACTTGATAGCACTTAGCAATGATAACAACAAATGTGTGTATATAAATTTACTCACCATAGGAAATTTTAGTACCCTTATTTAATTGTGTGTATATAGATATAAAATAGAGACAGAGAGAGATGGTGTGGCACTGTGGGCTAATGCATCAGATGGCAAAGTCATTTGAACTGCAAGGTCGATGGTTCAAGCTCACCAGGTGCTCCTTGGAAACCATATACAGGGTTGCTATGGGTTGGAATCAACTGGACAGCACTTAACAACAACAACAACATAAATTTTGTTTATTCAATTAAGGAATTGAGTAAATTCTAATTTTTCCATAGCAATATACATATAAGGAATCCTGATGTAACGTTGTAGGATATGCATTGGACTGCTAACCACACAACTGGTGATGCACACCCACCAGACACTCCTGGGAAAACCTGTCTATACTGGGTCAGTATGAGTTGCAGCTGACTGTATGGCACTTAACAATAGCAGCAACAACAACTACATATAAATACTAAAATACCAAACCCCCCAAAACCAAACTC